GGATGATCCCTTCAGGACCAGTGGTGTGAGTGAAGATACCAGAGGGTTGAGGGAAGGTGGGTAGAAAGGGGGAACTGATTATAGGGATCTACACATAACCTCCTCCTTGGGGGACAGACAACAGAAAAGTGGGGGAAGGGAGACATCGGACAATGTAAGATATGACATAATAATAATAATTTATAAATTATCAAGGATTCATGAGGGACAGGGGAGCGGGGAGGGAGGGGGAAAATGAGGAGCTGATACCAAGGGCTCAAGTAGAAAGCAAATATTTTGAAAATGATGAGGGCAGCAAATGTACAAATATGCTTGACATACAATGGATGTATGTAGGACTGTGATGAGTTGTACAAGCCCCCAATAAAATGATTTATAAGAAAATAATAATACTGACAAGTTCACTATGCACAATTATCTCTTGATAACAAAGCATACTATTTTTAGACGTATTATTTACAGATTTGACTTATAATTGCCAAATTATAATAAACATACAGAATGCAAATACAAAAGGGTTTCAAAAACTTGTGTTAATATGGAATTAAAAAATAACGTAATGTTCCCACCAACTTTTACAAGTCCCTTTGTATAACCCTCTTCTAGAGAGTTTACATGTGGCCTTATAGTTGGGGAAGGGGTTGGGATTTGTGTTCTATCTTCTAAAAAAGGGTTGCCATTTTTTTACTTGGATGTCTAAACTGAAACCAAATTTAGATGTAATCATAAAAGACAGACATATTATCTTTTAGAGTTAACACGTGAAAGGATTAGAGCCATCCCCCCATTCCACTTCCACAGATTTACTGTTACCTGGATGGTATTTCCAATAGGCGCCCCCGGAGCGCCTTCAATATTAGGCTTTGAAAAAGATGGTGGCATGCCTGGTTGACCAAGGGGTTGCTGTATGCCATGGAGGGGTTGGCCACCTGGAAGATGTGGCTGTGTCAACGCAGCCTGGTTTGACAGTGGAACTGGAGCTGAAGGTTGTTGCTGCAGCATCTGTGACTGGGAGTCACCCAAAGGGTTCATGATTGGTGATGTGATGGGAACAGGCGGCATAAAATTCTCAGGCATCTTTGAAAAGATGGAAATACAAAAACACCAAGAGAAAGAATAAGAAAGGTAATAAATATCATTTCCTCAGCTTTAATAAAGCCCCAGTCAAATTATTCTTGGATAGTAATAAATCCCTTTTATTATTATCAAATGAAAATGTAAAAAGGATTCTAGAGGAAAGCATGCAAAAAGGGCTAATTCGGCTAAAGGGAGTGAGTAGGGTTAGGATTGGGAAATTCTAATGCAGACTTCTGCCTTGCCTTGCCTTCCCATACTCACCCTCACAACAGGGAGCCAAAACTGGTGTTTCTGAACGGGGCTGTCAAAAATCTGGACTGGAGCCTTGGTGGCATAGTGGTTACAAGTTGGGCTGCTAACTAACCGCAAGGTCGCCAGTTTGAAACCACCAGTCACTCCTGGAGAGAAAGATGGGGTTTCCGACTCCCATGAAGAGTCAGACTCAGAAACCCACCAGGGCGGTCCTACCCTGTGCTACTAGTTTGCTATGAGTAGAGATCGCCGGATAGCAGTGATGTTGGTTTTGGTTTGGTTAAGATCTGGAGAGTCCTTCCCAGCAATACTAGAAGCACGGGTGTCAATCTTGTCAGTTCAGTCATACAAACAGTAGATCAAGTTTTTGATTATTATTAAATTGTGAAGTACAAACATAGAAAATGGCTTGGAAGGAAAGGAGGGACAGTTTCTCTTATTGTGCTTTTACAGCTTTCATCAGTGATCAGCTCTCAGGCCATTTCTTCATTCACATTATAGAACTGACCCTCATTACTCCGGGACTTGTCCACCCACTAAAATTGATTAGTAAAGTAAGTATCAATACTGGTGACACTGTGTGATCATTTACAAACACACAGAATGGAGAAAATATTTGAACTGCCTGGTGCACATGTTCCCAGCCAAGGTCAAATAAGGTGACCCACGGCCTTGTTTTAGTTTTTATACTGGAGGAAACAAGTTAACTTTTCGGTCTACTTAGGTTTTCACACTTTTGTGTTTTTGTTGTAATTCTGCTATTTGAAAAGGCCTCTTAGAGGAGTATGAAATTGCTGTCTAGTTGTTCCCAATCAAAATATGAGGGTGGCCCATAAGAATCCATGGAAAAACAGGATTAAAAGATAATGGATTTTCCCCCACAATTTTTCTGAAACTCTCTCAAATGTGTTTGACTTAGGTAAAAGTTAAACAGTGGTGCTGGTCTGGAGTTCCATGTTACTGTGTCAACCAAAACCAAACTCACTACCATCAAAGTAATTCTGACCCACAGCAACCCGATGGGACAGACAGAACTGCCCGTGTAGGCTTCTGAGGCTGTTTCCAGGTGACGAAGCCCAGTCTGTCTCCCCCATAGTTGCTGGTGGTTTCAAACTGCCAACCATGCAGATTGCAGCCCAATGAGTAACCACTATGTCACCAGGGCTCCTAATAAATAAATCAGTGGTATGTGTTAAATAAGCTATCTTTAAATAGAAATATACATAAAACAAGTTTATGTATCCATTCATTGAAATTTTTATGATCAGGAGCAATGGTTCAATATGCTCTATTCCAAGACTATAGCAAGTTGACAGAACACAACTACCGTGAACACTGAGACCTTAATATATGTGATGGAAGCCCGGCTGATACATGGTTATAAGTTGGGCTGCGATCCACATGCGTGGGAAACTGAATGGGAGACAGAGGACCCGGAAGAGAGTATATGCAGACAAATTCTTTATTTTCACGATTAAGAAGCCTGGGAGGTCTTCATATTCTCCTAGTTAGGTCACCCCCACAGTATCTTCCCATAATAGTGCTACCTTAATGATACCTCTTACAAGTATGTGACTGGTTGCTCCCTGACCTGGTTGCTTTATCTATAGAAGCAGAATGTTCCTATTGCTCTCCCTGCTCAGGTGACAATCACTCCCCTTTACTTGCCCCCAGCACTGACGTTAGGTTACTCCTCCAATGAACTCAGGAACCTCTGGGGTTACGATTCTGCCCACCTTGTTACAAAGGTAGGTGTCTATGGAGGGGGTGGGGGGCTTGCATCCACCAAGACTATATAAGTTGGTATAAGAATACTTTCTCTCTCCTACTTGAACCTGGTTCCTGATGCCATGGAAGAGGTGAGCACCCCAAAACTTTTGTCTGTCTCTCAATTTCTTCCCTTCAATTACACAACTGTTCCTTAGGACCCATCCGGATGAGGGCTGGCTCCCACACTCATGGTTAGTCATTTGAAACCACCAGCAGTGTCAAGGGAGAAACACAGGGGGAGGCTATGGTTCAGCACTGCCTCCATGACAGTAAGACTCTATATGATAAACAGCTCAAAATACAATTAAAAAATTCATGAGTAACGTTGGACCCCAAAAGCCAAAGTAATTCCTAAAAAAGTTCACATCATTTGAGAAGCCTGAAACTGTCTTTCATACTAGGAATTTGTATTAATTAGACTTTCAATTAGGAATTTACATCTTGCCTCCTGAAGAAAGTATGGTATTTCATCCCACCATCACCAGACTAAGGTTTTTCTTTCCCCTGTAAGTTAGAAGATGTGCACTGAAATATACTTTAAATACATCAGTGAACTGTAGTATGATAAGCATAATCTGTAGTTAATTAAATGCACAGGTATGAATCTTTTTCTAGTACCTTCTTCTTCTTAGGTCCTCTGTTCAAAGCTGGAGGATCATTCCAACCATTTTGAGGACCTATAACAGATAAGAGAAGTCATTGTCCTTTAGAATCCTTACATGAAGGAAATTAAATTGCATCCATCCTATAATAACTTTAAATTCTGCCTTGATCTTGAAATAACTATCACAAAAGTTTTACCAGCTGAGCAGTGAGGAGCTCATATAGACTTAGATTCTCAAACTTAACTACCGCTAACAGTCACAGGCCTTGGCTTAATAGGCAAAGTGTCTTGACATTATCTTTATTTAAAGAGCTGTGCCAAACAATCAAAATGAAGCGATTTTATCTATAATGCTGTAAAACCTTTCAAGAGCAGTCTACATTCTCACTTAATGAATGAAAAAAAACAAAAAACGCCTGAGTTTGCTACAAAAAAAAGAAAAAAGACTTCTGATACTGTCAATGTACAGAAGAATCCAAACCAGCAATCTCCTAGTTCTCAAGAGATCAACTCAACATGATCGATTCAGTAAAATCTAAAATCTAATCACCCATAAATGTTCAACATGGTTCAAAAAGTAAAAACAACAACTTCAAACCCATTGTTTTTGGGTGGTTTAGACTCCTGGTGACTCCGTGTTTTCAGAGTGGAACTGCATTCCGCAGGGTTTTCAATGGTTGAAATATGGAGGCAGAATGCCAGAGCCTTTCTGGGTGGGTTCTAAATACTCATCTTTATGTTATCCACAGAGAGCTAACTGTTTATGCCTCCTGGGGACCTACCATGGTAGAAACACTGCTTTCAAACAAAACAAAACAGATCAAAAAACAAAACCAGAGCCAAATTAAGTAACACCAATAATTTTTGGTTACTTTGATTTGAGAACCACTTAAATGGTAGACAAGCATTCAAATATCTGTGCTAACATTTATTTTTTAATGCGACGTGGGGGGAAAAGGCCATGCTTGCAACAAATATAAAATTAAACTTGTTATTGTCAACTATAATACATTTCTCCTTTAAAACAAAATTGTCACCTTAAAGTGAGAATTTAAAGCTACTTGTAGTATCACATAAATTCAATCAGTTCTGAAATTTGACTCAATTTAGAAGCTAAAGATAAAATTATATGGATCAGATTCAGGGTATCATTAGCTTTTAAATTCACATGCATTATCATAAATGTCCATTTATTAATTATGTGCAATGATTCAAAGATTTCCAAAGGCAAATTTTATAACGAATTCACCTTCCAACATAGGTGCCTGGTCTTGGAGAGAGTGATTTTCTGCAGACAGAATGTAAATGTCACTTAGATAATATTATCTCCAAGCACATTCTAAACTCTACTTTTAATTTTATAATCATTTTCCCATCCTTAACCCACAGAAAGGGCAAGAGCAGGTACTATATTTTGACTAAGGTATGTTTACAGAAATAAAAAAAAAATTTTTTTAGAACATTGCATAGATAATCATCTTATATCCCCTTTGGAAGACTTTTCTATATAAACAAATGGAAGACTGTATACCTAAATTTAAAATTCGATTGTTTAACCAAGTTGGTAATGTTCATGCAAAAAGTTTCATAATAGCTTACTGATTTTATCAGAAAACAAATTCTGGTTGTCTTATCAGACAGATAAAATCTGGGACCTGCATGTTTAAAAGTGTTTCTCCTGTTTAAGCACACATTAGACCAGGGACCAGAGACAAACGAAAAAACGGACTGGCAGTATCTTACTTGTCCTACAGAGTAAGACAGGAAGACGTCCTGCTTCGCTGTGTTGCAACCACCAAGCAACATTAAAGAAATCTAACTCGGGCTGTCACTTCCTTGTACCCAGGAGTGAGAGAGGGCTTGTTTCATTGCTTCTGATTCTGCCATGTTGCCCACAATTTATCTTGCAAGATCGCCTCCAGATTAATTTCCCTCAAATACCACTCTAGGCCACTCAGCAGATCAAAAGTCCTTCACTGGAATCTTTCATCTTCCTGTATACAGGGAGTTCTTACTCCGGCAATTGACTCCAATATTAAATACAAGTACAACTTTTATTTTTAACTTACAATAGGATGATAAGCTGTTCACTAGAAATATACCGTCCTTTTCCGCCTCCTTCCTATTTTCTCTACCTGGAATAATTCTAATTACAGACTGAAGAGTGACTCACTAAAAAATTACTGAATAAGTATGTTGCTGGTTACAAAAGTAGGTATTTTGAACCCTGGGCATAAAATTCTGTTAGAGGGCTAGAAAAAGCTGTAGTGTCTGCCAGAAGTTATCCTTTGGACAACCAGAATTTCTAAGTCCTGTATAGAGCCATCACCTAAAGTATTAAAATACATGAGAACAGAAGAAACATTTTCAGTCACAATTATTTCTCTAACTTAAGCAAGATTTTTAGAAACTCTAAAAATAAAACATAATAAAGTTATAACTGTTAATTAAGATAAAAGACAGTTAACATGCAAAAAGTAATAAGGCAGCTGGGCTGAATGCATGCCAGATGCTGAATAATGCTTGATTTCTACATGTTAGTTACTGTTTCTCAGCCAAGTTATGACGTTCTGTTACCTAGTACATAAACAGAAATTTTCATTTCATGGCCAAGTGTATATCATTCCTAATAGTCTTTACTTAAGAAAAAACAGACACGTAAATATTTTAACTTAAATGCTAAAATAATAATCCCTCGAACAGCATTGCTAAGTGATTTCTGTAATTCCTTCCACGATAGTTATCTCTATCATCTCTGTCAGGACTAGACTACTCGGCATAAAAGAATGAACATCAACTTTGAAGACTTCAGACACCATTATCCGTATCGCAAGTCAGTGACCATTCGATGCAGCCAGAGAGTATGACAGAACTCCAGGAGATTCCGTTTCCTCAACTCCAAAGCTCTAAAAAACAGTTGTTTTTATCTCTCAGGCTCTCTTTTGCCAGTTGTGTTTCTCTCATTTTTTTTCTTATCAAGATCATAACTTGCCTTTACAACTAGAATTATAAAATTAGTACAAGCTCATTAAGCCTGTACTCTAATGTTCAATTTTCACAAATGAATTTAAGCCACAAATAATTTGACACGGACATCTCGTTAAGACAGAGTGAAGTTTGGCAAATTAGCATCAATTAAACTTGGTCTCAAGCACTACCTAATTACACCAATTAATTTCTTACTTTGGGTGCTGTGGTTCTACTAGCTTTCCTCACTTAACAATTAAAGTTCATTATGGGAGGCTGAAATTTTAGAAATAGTTACAAAAACCCAATCAATGCCTCACAAAATCTAGTTTACAAACAGTTAAGAGAGCTAATTCCCTTCCACCCAGCCATCCATTCATGACAACATAAAGGAGGGAGCCAAACCAAATCCCTTTCAAGCGCAGACCTGTTCTTTGGGACGCAGGCAGCTCACTGGCATCAGGCAGTGTACCTGTTGTTCCAGGAGGTAGTGCGTAAGCTGAAGATGATGGTGGAGCTCCTGGTCCGCCATGCTGGAAGGACGCTCCAGAGGGAGGGGGAGGAGGGAAAGCAGCCGCAGGGCTGGAAGAAGGCGGAGAGGCCTGGTGCTGTGCTGCATAGAGCTGAGACTGCCCAGAATAGGAAGGAGCAGAAGATATGTAAGGGGTGTTAGGGTAAGCGTTTGAAGCAGGAGGAGCGACAGGCTGCGGAGGTCGATACACTGCTGACCCCCCTGTTCCGAATGAATACTGTTGGGTTGGTTGATAAGCTATACCGAGGAGAAGAAACAGAAATTTTAATTAGTTACAAGTTTATTCAAGTGGACTAAAAACCAGTTATCTCATCATATGCAAATTACCTAATCATTCTTATAACTATCAGTTACAACCAAAAACGAACACAGGTTTGTGATGATTCAAATGCCCTTATATAGTTAAAAATCAATATTTGAAAACTGCCATCCCCAAGGTTGCTGCTAGCTATGGAAGTCTTTGAATACCACTCGAAAGAATCCTAAAACTAATACTTTAAGACATTTTTTTTTCTCCTGATAAAAAAATGTAGTGACAACTATTAGCCACCAGATGGAACAATGCTAGCACTACACATCCAAAGCACTCACTCTCTTTACAGTGTTTTCATTTTGTTGCAGCTCAAATCCTCTCTCCCTTAAGAGCTACAGGGTGAGCACTATCTAGTATCTTTGCTAGCATCCAGGAGTACCAACAACTATTCAAAATATGAGTGTGTATAAACTTTGGGACCAACGGTGAGCCCAGATCGCTGGCAAACCAATGGCTACATCACATTAGACATACTGATATATCCGTTAGTAAGCTGTCAGACAAAGACTCACACCCAGATCTTCAACCCAGCTGCTGCTGAGTCCATTCTGACTCCGGGACCTCCGGCATTTCAGATCACAGCTATGCTCAGTGGTCGCGATTGTTTAGAAACAGTGCAGGTTGCCAAGCTGTTCTTCCAAGGCACACTTGGGTGGATCCAAATGGCCAAATTTCTCGTTAGCACATGAGCACTTTACCCATTTGCACCATCCAAGGACTCTGGACACCACATAGGAAAATCTTATACCATCACATCCTGTGATCAGGGTACTATCTTTGGATACAGAGAACTGTATCTGCTTCCTATCAGTACTCTGAACCACGAATTTTCACATGAAATACTTGAGTGAAAGACTGAAACAAATTTGTCTGCATTTTAAGAACATACAAATTGGTTTGGATTAGGTTTTAAATTGTTTTTTAAATCGTTATTAAAATACATCCTATTTTCCCCTATGAGAGCTTTCTATTCCCTCTCCACTTAAATTCTGAGCTAGCAATCATTTCTTGCTTTCCAAAGGCAAATCTGCTGTACAAGACCTCTTCCGAGTGTTGAAAAGCAGGGAGGCTACTTTGAGGACTAAGGGGAGCCTTGCCTAAGTCATGCTATTTTTAATCTCCTCATACGCATGTGAATAAGGAAGACCAAGAAAAAATAAGCATGCATTTGAATTGTGGTGTTAGTGAAGAATACTGAAAGTAGGATGGGCTGCCAAAAGGACAAAAACATCTGTCTTGGAAGAAGTACGGCCAGAATGCTCCTTAGAGGCAAGGATGGTGAGACACTGTCTCACATGCTTTGGACGTGTTGTCAGGAGAAACCATTCCCTGGAGAAAGACATCAGGCTCAGTAGAGGGGCAGCAAATGAGAAGGCGGCCTTCAGCGAGACGGACTGGCACAGTGGCGATTAACAACAGGCTCACGCATAGGGACAATTATGAAGATGAGGCAGGGCCAGGCAGTGTTTCATTCGGTTGTGTGTAGGATCACTATGGGCCGGAACCAACTTGATGGCACCTAACAACAATAACTACAGGGGCAAATACTTTCTGAAAAAGAAATTCCCCTTGGGACCACTGCCCCACCCCCACCCCCAAATTAGTTTGTATTATCTTCCCAGAAGGAAAAAATATGTACTGAGTAATTTCGACACTTCTAATTTTTGGATACCCAAATCATGGGAGGATACCGGACTCTCGTCCACAGGTCCTAGAGATGACCCAAGAATAGGAACCAGTTGTTCTAAAAAGACTGACTGAGGGTGTGGCTTCTTGTTAGCCTATTGGTTCAGGCCACCTCTTTGGGAAACCGTGTTTCAGTACAGTAGAGTCCTAAGAAGGTTCTTCTTTAACTTGTCCAATCTGATTTCCACGTGGATTCAGAACTTCAAAGTCAATGTTTACATTAGCTAGAGCATGCCGCTATGAAAGAACTTCAGGGTCAGACTACTTACGCTGTGGCTGAGGATAAGGTGGTACCTGGGTGTGCATATGACCTGGCGATGTGGGCAGCTGAGGGACAGCACTTGGATTAACACTTCCGGGCATTATGAAACCTGGAGGTGGAGGATTTTCTCCCTAGGAAATGAGAATAGGATAAGAAGCAGGATTACAGCTGGAAACAAGAATTTACCAAATGGACTTATGATTTCCTAAATGGAATTCTTATATTAAACAACAACAACAAAGCAACCAAATTTATTGCATTCTTTGTCAGAGCATCACATTTCTTGAGCAACACAAGTTGGGTGATCTCAAGACCAGACAGGTCCCAAGTAATAACTGCAATGAAAGGCAGTGGAAACGAACAGCCTCATGAGACAAGATGTTCTGAACTTTTCATAAGTCACCAGGGTTTTTCATCTAGTAAATTCCACCCACTACTCCGCACTCTGGAAATGTTAAGTATAAATGCCTTATTTTGGCATCTCATCAATTTCTGTAAGGCTAAAAACAAGCAAACCAAACAAAAGCCACACAATAAAAACTCTTCAGTATAATCAGATTTCAAAACCATTGTTAGAACCTTGTTGATGCTTTCCTGCTCCAGTCAACTTGGAACTGTAGAAGAGCGAAGGCAGACCACCGAAATAAATTAATAGAGCTATTTATGACGTCTTGGAACTGTAGAAGAACGAGGGCGGACTACGGAAAAAAATGAATAGAGCTATTTACGGCGTCTTGCCTCCTAAAAGCATTACAATGCAATAAGCTGGCAGGCAGGCAGACCTGGAGAATGGGAGTTTGCAGAAGGGCGGTTAAAGACTATACCTATTTATATTTAAGTGAGCAGAATTCTGCTCCAAGAGGAATAATGAAGGATATACCTGTGTGTCAGAGGGAGAGGCTGCAGGTGGATGGCTGGGAAGGGCAGTAGGAGTTTTGTTACTCCAGGTAGTGACAGTAGGGGCAATTCTAACCTGAATTGAACAAAGAAATACCAATCACAGAAAATAAAAAATGAAAATGTTAAGAGAAAAAAGAAGGGGAAAAAATTTAAAGGGTATTATTAGCTGCCAGTTTCAAAGCAAAAATTAAGAGCAACAAGAAAGCAAGCATTAGTCCAAGCGATTGCATTCAGAGTAGCTGGAATTTCTAAAGAAAAGTGTTCATTCATAACAAAAGGGAAGGGGTGATTGAGGTAAGTGAAAAATCAGTACAGAAACTTAAAGCACAAACAACAATGTCAATCAAGTGCCACAAAGAAGGGGGAAAGCTAGGACCTGTAAGTGAGAAAGAAAGCCTACATTCCAGGAAAAAGATACTTGAGTAAAAAGTGATTTTTTTTAAAAAGCATCAATAGTATTCATGTTATCATGTGATCTGTAAACATTGTTATAAGCTTCCCTTTTCTGGATTTGATTGGCACCACAGAAATCTTATTAGTCTTATGTGAGGCTTAAAAATCACAGAGAATGTTAGGGCTGAAAGGACACAAAGCATCATCCAATCTAATCCCACCCTGTACCAATGAGAAACCAGGGATCACAGAGGCAAAGGGGCTGGTCAAGGTCTGGACAACTGGATGGACGGATTCCCTATCTCTTGACTTCGGCACTGGTGTTTTCTATGTCTTACCGTGTGGCTTACCCTGCAGTCCAATGGTTTTCATATATTTTAAATAATGAGTTTTGTCAAGTAAATCTTTGTAAGAAACTTTTTTAATGTTGTGTTGGTTGAAGTGGGGGTGGAACTCTTACTAAAATGGCCTCCCTGGAGACGTTGGATGGTGTAAGATATGACAAAATAATAATTTATAAATTATCAAGGGTTCGTGAGGTAGGGGGGAGCAGGAAGGGAGGGGAAAAAATGAGGAGCTGATACCAAGGCCTCAAGTAGAAATAAAATGTTTTGAGAATGATGAGGGAAACAAATGTACAAAAGTGCTTGACACAATGGATGTATGTATGTATGGATTTTAGTAAGAGTTGAATGAATCCCAATAAAATGATTTTTTTAAAATGACGTCCCTGTAACCCCTCTACCCCAGTCTACAAACAGATTTAAAACCAGAAGCCACTTCCCTCATTACTTGCACGTATCATAAGCATTCATCAAGAAAATCGCTATTTGAAATGATTTTTCTGTTAAACTGTGTTCAGTAAGTCAAAAGGTAGTGAAAGTCATATGTCTTTCCCTTTTCATGACACAAATCAAGCACATAAAGATAGATGTTCTCTTCCTGTAGAGATGCTTGGCTTTCAAACACAAGGTCCTTGGGAGTTCTTATCCCAACGTGGCCATTAACAGATGATACAACACTGAGAAATTCAAGCTCTGTGTCTTTTTATTCTAGTTGGTCATTTGACAGGCCTACTTCTAATGTTCCAGACCACTTGAGACCACACTTGAGACCAGTGTGAGCTCCACTGGGAGAGGGGAGGCTAGTGTATTTTGTTCTCCAATGTACCTCAACTCAGCGGCTAGAACAATTCCAGCTGCTCAGAGTAGGCTTCAAATACGTTCTTGTCAAACGAATGAAAGAAATCAAATTAGAGAATATTCTAGATATTTATGTTATACTAAAATATGATCTATTCTAATTATGTACCAATCAAAAGTATAACAGGCAAAAGAACATGAACCTGATTCATGCTTTTGGTTTTGACATTTCATTTTATACTTTTAATTGGAAAACGATCCCACCAGTCCTACCACTAATTTGCTTGATACTGAAACAGGCAGATTACACCTTTCCCATCACCAGTCAGGACCATTTTCAACCGTTACTTATGAAAAAGTTATTTTTATTTTAGAACATGAAGGCTATGTACTAGTGTGGAAATATAAAGTTTCTAAATGAAAAAGTGAGTGACAATAAGATACCACCTTTTTGCCATTACACTTGTAATTTTAGTATTCCAAAACATCTTTTTTTCAATATAGGCAAGTATTATTAAAAAAATAATTCACTAAAATGAATTTCTATATAAGGTCTTAACTTTCAAAGTCCTGCGTTGGTAGCTAAAAAATTGAAAATAACTCAAAATGTTTAAAAGCTCTATCTATACATACGTAAAAACAGGGCAAACACATAACTAAACATTAACCAGTATTTCTGAGAGCTAACTTTCTTTTTGCTCTACTTTATATTTTCTTACTTATGTACAGTGAAGACATGTTATTTCTACAATGTGGAAACTGCTTTTGATGACTACGGGCACTATGAACAGAGTAAAACCCTCCCATTTTCTTCAAAAACACCTAAGTAAGATGAGGTGTCCTACGATGCTATGACAGAAGCTAAGAAATGCAAAAGATTAGAGGAAATAACTGATGGACAAGGACACGGTCCATATCGACCCCTCTTGACCTGCTATGCCTTGTTTCTTTGTGCCGCCCCCGACCTGTCACAAACCTTGGGCTACCGCTTCTCTCTGGTTGACAAAGAAGTGCTTTGTGCACTGCGAACTCACTATTATGCTGATACAGCAGACAGTAGGCTTGTATTAGTGATTTAGAAAAAGAAAACTAAAAAAAACCCCACTATTTTCTAAAATTAGCTAAATCACTCATGAGACTGTTCTTGCTATTTCACTTACCATTGAATCAAATAGCAGATGTTTTCAAGAATATATGTACAAGGGAAGATTAAGTGATAAAGAAAAAAGTTGAAATCTCCCAAGAGAGTTAATTAATTTATATCCGATATAATTTGTGTGACATCATGTGAAAAGAATGATTTTAAAAGGTAGATCAGAAATACTACTTCTAAGAATTTAGAGAGTATAAGTACTGAAGTTTTAAGTTTGGTTTTTACCACATCAGAAAAAGTCTTTTGCCCACCAGCTCTGAAGGAGGCTGGTTGCTGATTAGTGCCATCAAGTTGATTCCAACTCATGGTGGCCCCTGGTCCTGTGCCATCCTCCCAGCCGCTGAATAGAAAACCATGAAAGCCCCCATTTCATTTGGGTCAGGTCACTCACATGAGGATAGTACTGTTGAGTTGGAACTCTTGGCATCTGTGTGTGGCCAGCAGTTGGTCCAGGCCTGCCCTTGGGCAGATGCTGCCTCTCATAAGGAGTTTTGGGTGTTTCGTGTCTTGTTATAGGCTCTCCTTGTGCTTTGCAAAGTCTATCACGAAGCTGCATAATATTTGCCTAAAAGAAGCAATGGAAGAAACAGTCAGTTATAAATATTCAAGAATAACCTCAAAGGGCTACAACATTGAGAAATTTGTAATTTAGCTGAGGTAGAAATTTGAATTATGCCCAATGCACGGTTAGTATGCAAGATGTCTTCAGTTGTTACAGTTTGAATAATGCTTACAAAACAGAAAAGTAACCACAACAACAAAAACTGAAAAGTAACAAAAACAAAAACACAACGTTCTTTTTAGGTCCCCAAAGAGAGTCAACTATTACAGATGGTATTGAAGGAAAATGTTTATCTAAGAAAAAAAGGTGATTTGAAATAAATTACAAGTAAAATAGTAAACTCAGGGTAGCTTATACAGATCTATAAGAACCATGAGTTGACCATGTATATTCTGAGCATCATCAGAGAACAGCAAAATGATAAAATCTTTCAAGGAAGAATTTTATTATCTTGAAATGTTTCCATTCCTCTAAGTTCAATAATGAATAGGTCTCTAAAAAAAAAGGGAACATACCATAGCAGACTGAATACAAAACTGGATACACAAATCTAGCTGTCCTCTACTAAGCCAGACACTGAAACAGATTTGCAAAATGTAAAATAACACTCCTCTTGTCACTAACAACTACAGTTTTGGAAAATATAGATTTTTCATAAAACTATGTTATTTCCCTAAATATATAATTAGTTTATCATCACTATTTTAAAAATGAATTAATACTTGGTTAAAATTTCAACAACGACAAAAAAATTTCAACAAGAAAAGTTTAAACAGTCATTTAAATTTTTAGGTATCTTTTATAGCCTTTCATAAGGGGGAATTAAATGCCTGATATTTTCTTTTAAAAGTCTAAAGAAAATCATGAAGAATAATGTATAGGAAAATACAAACAGTTATAAACGGTACTGAAAAATAAAGGATAGCAGGTCTTTGGGTCTTAAAATTAAGGGGCTTACAATATATCCCAATGTAATTATGAGATATTATTATGTAAAAAGTCTCACAAAACTTGCATGCCAACATCATCATAAACACACCACCAAATATCTCATTAACAATTCAGAAAGATCCAAGCGGAATCCAACAATTAAGAGTACACAAAATCGTACCTCCACATCCGGGAACATGTATGTAAAGATTTTTTACTCAAGGTTTCAACAGAATTGATAGAAAAGAAAATGTATTGATAATTCTCTAGAACAAACAAAACACTAAAAACATGAGCCTGAAACAAAGCCACTGAAAACAGAGTAATGATAACAATAAAAAATCATTAATGAAACAAGGAAGTATCGTCAGGCTCAAAAATCAAGCTCCCTCAGACACAAAACATACTGACCAGATAGAAACATTCTTGTTATAGATCTCCTCAAACTTCACCCCAACTCCTACCCACTCTTTCTTATTGGGGACAACTTCTCTTCTGGCAATTCCCACAGTGCCACTACTTCTACCACAGAAATGATCACATTTAAGGATTTCCCAGGTTTACTTGACTATAAGCCAACTTATGTTTGTAAGTTCCCTAAGTGGCAAGGACCTTGGAAATAATGGTTATTGCTATACAAGAAGGTACAAGAAATTTGTGGAAAAACTGGAATTAAAAAATAATGAAATGTTTTCATGAACTTTTTTTAAATGAACTTATATATTTGACTACTTATTGAATAGAATTGAAATAAATAGGAAAAAGCCAGAGTTCCAGTATACACTAAGGACCACAAATTAGGAATGTGATATTGTTTCCTCTGCCTTGAATATTTCAAAAATATACTTCCCTATAGATAGCATCAGTCTAAAATGGCATGTAGGATGAACTTCTCCACCAACACTCAGGCTAACACTTGCCACAATTTAAAAGTCCCACCATGTAAAACAACCCCATTTGTTGCTGATTAAGTATCAACATTTATAGCTTCCCAACATAAACAATTTCTACCAAAAAACCTAAAACCCAGAAGCAAATGGCTTATACAAAAACAAAAAGGCTGGGGAAAAAATGAGGAGCTGATACCAGGGGCTTCAGTGGAGAGCAAATGTTTTGAGAACGATGAGGGCAATGAATGTACAATCGTGCTTTACACAATTGGTGTATGTATGATTGTGATAAGAGTTGTATGAGCCCCTAATAAAATGATTAAAAAAACAAACAAACAAGGCTGTCTTGTTTTGTTCCCCTGGCCCCTTTTTGTTCCTCAAATACTATACTCCTTAGTAAACAGGGATCTATTATATTCCAGGATCCTCTATCTCTGGGTACACCAAAATGATGACTGAAGAACTATAAATAATACTGACTTAAAGTTAGATGATAGAAATTCAACTGCCCTAAAACATCCCACTTACCAGCATGTGTATCTCTAATATCAAGTGCTGTGTAATGGGCTCATATTACTCACATTAAAAGGAAGAAAAATGGTCCATGCTAATTACCTGGTTAGTGTTTTCGGGAAGAAAAGCCAGGGCCGCAGCAATACTGCCCTGAGCTGCTAGCAAACTGGCATACTGACTCATCTTCTCAGCCAAAAGCACCCCTACTGTATTCGTGTCCACGGTTTGAGTGAGCTGTACAGCTTTTCGTAGGATGACAACTTTCTCAATCAGATCCTAAGTGAGAAAATAAAAACAATCATGATTATCAAAGAGAAGATACAGAGGTGTTTAAATTTCCAAGCCTATTAAAAGTACGATACACACAACAAAAAGACAAGCAACCCAATTTTTTAAGTGGGCAAAGGACTTGAACAGATATAGTACAAATAGCCAATAAACACATGGAAAAATTTCAGCATCATTAGTCATTAAATCCAAGAGCCACATCCACTGCTACTGAGTTGATCCCAACTCAATAGTGACTGTAGGTAAGGTTTCTAGACTCTTAAGTCTTTACAGGAACAGACAGCCTCATCCTTCTCCCCTGAAGAAGGTGGCGAATTTGAACGCAGACTTTTTGGTTAGCAGCCAAATGCATATCCCACTGCACCATATTAGACATTAGGGAAACACAAATCAAGGCGACAATCCCTCTTGAGATGGTTATTATTCATGTGTTTCTACCTCAAATTTTTTTCATGGAAAATAACAAGCATTGGCAAGGATGAAAACAAATTCAAATCCAGTGTGAAATGGTGTCACCACTATGGAAAATAGTTTGATGGTTCCTCAAAAAGTTAGACATAATATTACCATATAACCCAGCAATTCCATCCTAAGTATGCACACAAAATATTTGGAAGCAGGGACTCAAGACATAATTTTACCTCAATTTTCAATAGTTAAATAATGGAAATAACACAAATGCCCATCAATAGATGAATGGATTAATAAAATATGATGCTCAAACACATCAATTGTGAGGATGACGCCAGAGCAGGCTGTTTTATTTTGTTGCATACGAAGTCATTATGAGCTGGAGCCAGGTCGATGGCACCTACTAATAACGTGTGAGCGTGCATGTGTGTACTTAGCAGCTTCAAAAAGTTCATGGGAAAATGGAATTAAAATACAATTTTTCTATAAACTTTTTAGGCCACCCTGTACACTCCTACACACATACAATAGAATATTATTCACCCATAAAGAGAACTGAAAGACTCAGTGCAGGTGACAACATGAACTCACTTTGAAACATTATGCTAAGTGAAATGAGTTGGACCCAAAGGACTATACTGAAGGACTACACTTTGATGAAATATTCAGAACAGACAAATGTGGGAAAAAAAGTTTTAGTAGCGGTTACCAAGGCCTGGAAGAAAGGAATGGGAATTATTGCTGCAAGGGATATGGAGTTTCTGTTTAGGGTAATGAAAAACTTCTGGAAATGCATAATAATTATAGATACAAAATACAATTAACATAATAGGTATCAATGCATTATACACTTAGAAATGTTTAAAATGGCAAATTTTATTACATAAATTTTACCACAGTAATAAAAAGTACACTATCTATTTTCACTCCTCTTAGTTATGTCTGGAATAACCAATCACTATTTAAGTATTTAAAAAAGAAGCCCGGAGGAAGAACTCTTACTCAAGAATCAGGCAGGCATAGGTTGTCATCGACTCCTAAACATTGTTAAACTGCCAAGTAGCTGTTCTGCTGAGCTAAACAGCAGACACCCACTTGGCCAAGTGAGATGCAAATGTCTGAAGACAGCAGCCAGCTATAGTTATAGGAGGAACTGTGAGTGAAAACAATGTACTATCCACACCTTAAAAGTACTCTGAGATGACTTCAGCCAGAGGCACATAACCGCCACTTAACCTGAAATGTCTCATATTGTTCTTCAACACCAATTCTTTTCACACAAACCCACAAGTGTGTTTTCTCCCAAAAGCATTTAGCAGGAAAACCTTAATTTCCTACTTGGTTTTCAGTTTCAATACAAAGACCTTTAAAACAATTCTTCTGAGAAAACTTTCTTTCCAAAGAGAACAGAACCATGCTGAACATGTCTCCCACTCTTTATGCCACATTGCTTCTCCCTGTTCTGCCCCAGGCCTGGAGGGTCAACTAGAGGCAGAGAGAGGAACAGCAGAAAAAGGTAAACTCTTTTCTGTGTTTGTCACCCACTTCCCTTAACTGCCAAACCACAACCTCAATTTCACATTGTAGCAAAAATGACAAATATCAGTTATCTAGAAACAGAATTTCTAGAACATTACTTGTTAATAATTAACGTACGATCGATGAAGATCTAGAACAAATCACAGGTAGAGAAAAAGACACCACCAAAAAGTAGCATATTTTGTTTCCAAGACACTAACCTGAAGGGATAAGGGGTTGTTTCCATCTTGAGCTTTAGTCCAACATGCAACTAATTTCTCTACATTCCCTGCACAAATATAGCAGAGACATGCCTGAGTCTGCAGGAGGCTGTCACCTTCACTTTCAAGCCTGGCTCCCAAATGATCTGTGGGTCAGAAGGGAGACAGAGAGTCACTGCTAAGGTGATTTACATGTGAAGTCACGGACCAATTCAACCAGCAAATCCACTAGCCCTAAGTCAATTCCAACTCATAGTGACCATATAGGAAAGAACAGAATTGATCCTTAGGGTTTCTAAAACTACATATTTATGGGATCATGCAGCCTCATCTTTCTCCACAAATGGCTGATGGGTTTAAACTTCAAACCTTTTGGTAACAGTCAAATGTTTAACCCACTTCCAGCAGTCTAACAATTCCACAAGCAGGAATTAAACTTCATAACCAATGAATATTAAGGAGAAACAAAATTAGCCATACAGTAAATGCTTAGTAAATATTTCTTTGTTAAACAAATAAACCAACTTCACGAGGACCGAGTCAATTCCAACTCATAGTGACCTTATACAGGGTTTCTGAGATTATAAATTTTTATGGAAGCAGTCAGTCTTATTTTTCTCCCATGGAGCAGTTGGTAGATTTGAACTGGTGACCTTGAAGTTAACAGCCCAGGCTTAACCCACAGTTTCATCCAAAACCAAACCAAACACTGCCATCTAGTTGATACAGACCCATAGTGACCCTATAGGGCTGGGTAGAATTGTCCCCGGGAGCTTATGAGATTGTAAATCTTTATAGGCATAGAAAGCTTCATCTTTCTGGTGGTTTCTAACGGCTGACCTTTAAGGTCAACATGAAATCCACCACACCAGCAGGGCTCCCAGTCAATACTGCCTCATAGGAATCCTATTGGAGGGGGTGAAACTGCCTCTTAAGTTTCTAAGACTCTCTTTCTCAAGGCACCTTAAATGAATAAAACCCACTAAACCCATTGCCATTGAGTTGATTCTGAAGTATGTGACATCTTGGGTACAATAAACTATTTCACTAGATTCTACATCTAGTTGTATAAATGTGTTGTGATAATGACATTTTAAAACATAAAAGGTATGAATAGGTAAGAAAAAACTCATAAACATTTAACTCCATTTTCAAACAGAAGAGCACTAACCCAAAGCTCACTGGTTAGAAAGCCCCAGCCTGAGAGGAAAATGTGGCGGTCTCCTTCTGCGCAGACTCACAGCCTACGGAACCCCGTGGAGCAGTTCCGTCCTGTCCAACAGGGTTGCCGAGAGTTGGAACTGACTAGATGGCAGTGGGTTTGGCTTTAGAGCCATCACATCAGATCTTTTTAAAAACAACAGTATGACATGTTCTGAATAAACCACTAAATGGCATCCAGGTCTACTATAAATTATTTATGGTTAAAATCATTAATATCATGTAACGTTTATATCCTCAATACTTTCAAGCTAGCAAATGATTATTTGCATACTAGCAGACTTACAGATTTTTGCAAATAATGAATACTTATTCCTTCAATGGTTATGTTCACTCAAATGATGTAATTACGATTTTTTATCACTGTTGTTAGTTGCTATCAAGTTGAATCCAACTCATGGCAATCCGTCGCACAATGGGAAAATGTTGCCTGGTACTGCACCACCCCCATAACTGACTGCTGATCAAAACATTGTGATCTACAGAGTTTTCAGTGGCTGATGATTTTGAAAGTACACTGCCAGACCATTCTTCCGTGTCTGTCTCGAACTAATATTTATTAAGTTGAAAGTTGTTTATTATATTTTAAAGATTAGTAAACTGAGGCTCAGAAACTAATTTTTCCTAGGTCATATAGGCAAGGACAAGATTCCAACCATGGTCTGTCTGAAACCAAGACACTAAATATTTTCAGAGACAATAAATAGATATGAAAAAATCTTTTTTAATAAATAGGTATGATGACTGTATTAAACTATCCAGATAAAAGCATTTCAAATAACCTTTTTGTTTGTGATTAGTAGGTTAACAAAAATTTCCTAATAAGATCTGTCAAAAACTTTCTTTAAAATGCACCATGCCGTATTTGTAATATATCAAATGTAAAGCCCATTTTCTTACCACAGAGGGCTGAAAATTCATCTGGTTTGGCATACGTCAGCACTGCAGCTAAAGCCTCTCTCCAATTTTTAAGGTCACAAGACTCAACAATCTCTTTCCAGTTCTTCATCACCACGGCAGTGATCAGCTTGGGAAAGGAAACAGACAACTGAAGTCTTTTATATATATAAATAAAAATTAACAATGACTAATTAACCATAACTTTCAAAACTATTATTTATAGTATGTCATGCAGAAGCAAAGTACAATGTTATTTTTTAACCAAACAACTTAATATATGGTATTATTTTTCCTACACACACACACACACACACACTCCATACTAATATATTTATAAAGTACTGAGAAAGGAAAGAATGAATTAGCTTCGTTGTGGGAAACAGAAAGGTTATTCCCCAGGTTGTCCCCTCATATTATATGCTAAACCTAAGGTGCTGCTTGCAAACAAATGGTAAATGACCATACAATTGGAGGTCAGCTGCTTAAAAGTTATCTCCCTGAGGGTAATCAATCATCTAGAACAAAAACAAAAAAAAAAAGAAACAAAGAAAAGAAAATTAAAAGTCCACAAGAGACAAAATACCACCTTAGTATATCTGAGCTGAATGAAAGACTTCTGAAGAACAGATTTGACACATTGAGCACACCTGATGATTAATGGGACAGCATTAAGGAGATCATATAAGATATTTTCTTTTTATCACTAGTATTTTAAATTCTATGCCATTGCCTATATTAATGACATTAACATTAAAAATACCAAGTTTCCCTGCAAGTGATTTACATTATTTTTTTTAAATAAATTTATTTTTTTTTAAATCATCTAGAACAATCAGACCCTATAGTCTGTCCCACCCTAATTAGGACCCACTCCCTTCTAATAGGGATAATGTATTGTTCCCCTAAAAGAGAGCCCAAAGGCAAGGTCAAGCCAATCAGGGAGGGCCACAGTTCGGCTACCATCTTGACTCTAGAGTCCCCCCATCTTGTCACATGCTTGCCCCTAATGCCCACCCCTTCCTATTGCGTGTACACCCCTAGGCTCGTCCCCCCGTTACACATATGCCTATTTTTCAACCCCTACTGTTACGCATGTGGTTACCTGTAACTAGGGGGGCCTGTATGCCCACTGAGTGTATATAAGCCTTGAATGGAAATACATTCGCTCTCTCTCTGCAGGGACCGAGCTGCTAAGATCATGGCCGTCACAGAGGTGAGCATTCGCATGCCTTATCTTGTCTGATGTCTTTTTAATTCTACACCTCAATGACACAACCGTCCCTTGGACCCGTTCGATTGTGGGGGCTTGTACCCCACACTTCATCCTGAAGGAAAATGCATACAGACTAAAGGAGCAGCACATGGAGGGTCCTGAAGGAGAAAGGGACTAGTGCATGTGACCAACTGAAAGGCAGCCTGTGAGGCTGAAACACAACAGGGATAGGAGTGATGTGAGTTAGGGTTGGAGAGACTAATAGGAGCCCACTGCTTGCGAGACTGAACAGTGGAATAGCTTTCATAGAAAATAATGTAATGGCATCAAGTAGGAGCCACACAAACACTCAAAGCCTCTGCTTCAGAAATTCTGCTCCCGAGAACAGCCTTCTTCAACAATTAGACATTTGCATATATCTTTAGGCACAATGAGAATGCTTATCCCTGTTTTACCTATATTAAGAAAATATAGGGCAGTATCTAAGCATTTAAAAATGTGGCAATATAGCTTGACTACAGAATACTATGTTGTCATCGTTTGGTACCATCAAGTCAGTTGCAACTCACTGTGGCCCTACCTAAAAAAGAAGGAAGCAAGTTCCTGCATCAGCCTCATAATTGTTTTTATGGTTGAACCCACTGTTGTGGCTACTGTGTCAGAGCAATTACATTTTTTGGAAATGAATCTTAATGGTGTGGAGAAATGCTTGCATTATTACCAATAAAGTTGGACATTAATTAAGACCAAAGGAAAATTGGTGCACTTGAACGAAGGTGTTGACGAAGAGTATTGAAACTACCATAGACTGTCAAAAGAACACACAGATCTGTCTTGGAAGAAGTACAGCCAGAATGCTCCTTAGAGGTAATGGTGGTGAGACACTGTCTCAAGTACTTTGGACATGTGTCAGGAGACACTAGCTTCTGGCGGACATCATCAAATAAAGCAGAGGGGACAGTGAAAAAGAGGAAAGCTCTCAACAAGATAGACAGACAGTGTCTTTAACAATGGGCTCAAATACAAGAATTGCAAGAATGGCGCAAGACCGAGCAGTATTCACTCTCTTGTACATAGGGTCACTATGAATTGGAACCAACTCAAACAGCACCTAACAACATTATTAATAACACACAACCCCCTCACACACACACACACACGATCATGATTAAAATAACAAATTCTACAGATATATACAAAAAAGTATGGAAGGATAAACACCAATCTGATGAGAGAATTGGGGATTGCTAAAGTTTTTATCTTTAAAAAATATACACCTAAGATTAAACCTTTCTACAAAAGCAAAAAAAAATAATTTTTATAATGATAACATGCAAAGGAGGAAAATTGGAATAATCACACCAAAATGCACATGTGAAAACATCAAAACAAACTAGTTTCACTATGGCCCCCACCATTTCTGGGTCATGGAATTATGAATATTTGATCTTTACTGTTTTCTGGATTGTTATTTCTTGTAAGTGTGCTGCTATTATAATGAGAAAATGAAATACAATGATCAGTTTAACAGTTTGAAAAGAAGCTGCTGGTTTATCTTTAAAATAACATACCCTGGTAATTTTGCTTTGGGATTTTGCAAAGTATTTTTTCTGGGTTCGAGCCAAGAGTTCTTGTCCACCTGCTATGGCCAATATAATGGCATCTGCCATGCGGTTGTCATGTAAACAAAGGTCAACGGCACTCTCAAAATTACCCGTCAGCAGAGCCTGAGTAATTAAACCATCGATGTCTGCAAGGAGATATAATACACTCAAATTAAATAAGGTTTTGTGCTATAAAAGCAAAAACAAAAATCATCATACCTGCATATGAAACAAAGACATGCTAATTTCTGAATGCTATCAGTGGTAGATTAAATTCTAACACAAGATTGCTGTTATATATAGAAGAGATAAAAGAACACGTTTTTCCAGAATGGTCAAATTCTTTTAATAAAGATCATTTTATAGCTTCTATCATTCAGATGAAACAAAAGCACACCATATTTCCAGGGCATTGATTTCATACACTAAATGCTTAGTCCTCTCAGTCTCCTGCAGCTGTGACAAAACATCCCTAATAAACTAATCGACTGCTAGGCCTTCGATTGTTTTGTTTTGTTATTTTACACAGAAAGAAATTAAAACTCAACAAAACAAGAAATGAACACCAACAAGTATTTACCTCCACTGACAGAAATATTAAATGTTCCTCCGGCTGAGGGTAAAAATTCAGATTCTTGTTTTTCTTCTTTAATTCTCTAGAAAGATATCGACGACAGCAATTTAGCGAGACCAGAACTACCACATCAAATGCTGGGAAACAAGCCTGTATGATGACTCACTTACTGACTAGATGACACCCTCAGTCCAGAAAGTCTCAGATCCAAGTTTTCATTAAAATATACAGTTTCCCGAAGTATTAACTCCCATTATATAATCATAGGCAAAATTCAAGGTCATCAGAAACGGTGTTAAACAAAATTTAAGTGTTAAAGAAAATTAAATACGCTAATCTGGTAGTTTAGAACTTATTTAAGCTGAAGAATCTATTTTCTAAAATGCATCAACTTTTGAAAAATTAAATTAAATTAACATTTGAAAAATTAGTATGTTTATTTCCATTTTAAAGCAATCCTGCTTCTATCTACATAGCTGAAAGTTCCTATGCATTAAGTGTTTAAATTATGAAGTCTTTTTATTTTAACTGAATCAGTCATAAAAAAACATCACTGATGTCCTTAGAACAAAGGCAACATAAGCCAGATTTACGAACATACTCAGATTCATTTATACATGTGTTCCCTCAAACTGGTCAGATCCAGAGAGTAGGAAAGTCCAGTAAGAATATGTGTAGTTCTGCTAAAAATTCCTAAGATTTGTAATATTTTAAGTAAATTCAATTCTTTTCATTTCAAAAAGAATAGAGGCATTTCACTAGGATATACTTTAAATGCTTTCTCTTTCATGCATATAAATTTGAAAGTCAAAAATCTTAACAGATTTTTTAAATTTTTAAATAATTTAGCTCTCTTGTATGAAAGAAAATATTTACTGTGCTATTTTTATCTACACATCTGCATGTAAGTTCTTAGTCATCAAGGTCAGGGCATTTTTGGATTGAGAAAATTTAGTGTAGAGTACAGCACGGGATCATGTTGCAAAACCTAATAAATTAACATTGATCAACACAGGAGAAGAACTGTAAGTCTAATTCCATTTCCCAAGGGAAGCATTTAGGAATTTTTAAAATTCAAAGTGAAAAATTGACAATATTTAGTTATTTGTATTAAAGAATACATCAGAGCGCGTGATCTGATTATATTCACTAACAAACTTATTCTAACAAGCTCTTTTCCTAACAATTACTTTTCAAATTTGTTTAACTACAAGCAAACCTGTACTTAGAAAGACTTCTAAAATAGAGAAAGCCCGAACTGCTACAATTCATTGTATATATTGATTACCTTTTAATATACTATTGTCATTGTTTCAGAAACATTGTTTCAGAAACAACAGTACCATTAAGAGAAATTTTTTTCAAGTACCCTGGAACTACTCATTGATAACTGTTTATTTTAAATGCCTATTATTCTTACCTATTAAATTTATGCATGAATTCTCAAATGGACCTATTTGATAACATAGTTAACCTAGTTCTACATAATTAAAAGTACATTTCTTTAATGTAGTCTAATAGAGTCAAAATTTTCAGTAAGATGTTAACCATATCTTTTGTTCCTGTATTAAAGAAATGCTAAAATCCATATTTTCTAGGTGTTTTTTAAATCATTTTATTGGGGGCTCATACAATTCTTATCACAATCCATACATCCATCCATTGTGTCAAGCACATATGTATATTTGTTGCTCAAAACATTTGCCTTCTACTTGAGCCCTTAATATCAGCTGCTCATTTCCCCCCTCCCTCCCTACTCCTCCCTCCCTCATGAACCTTCATAATTCATAAATTGTTATTTTGTCATGTTGCACTATCCAACGTCTCCCCCGCCCTCTTCTCTACTGTTCATCCCCCAGGGAGGAGGCTATACGCAGATTCTTGTAATCGGTTCCCCCTTTCTACCCCACATTCCCTCCACCCTCCAGGGATCGCCACTCTCACCATTGGTCCTGAAGGAATCATGACCTGGATTCCCTGTTTCCAGTTGCTATCTGTACATCCTCTGGTCTAGCCAGATGTGTAAGGTAGAATTGGGATAATGATAGTGATGGGGGGGGGGGAGCATTTAAGACTAGAGGAAAGTTATATGTTTCATCATTGCTACCCTGCACCCCAACTGGCTCAATTCCTCCCCACAACCCTTCAGTAAGGGGGTGTCCAGTTGCCTACCAATGGGCTTTGAGTCTCCACTCTGCACTCACCACATAAAATCCATACTTCTAAGGAAAATGTTTCTGACAATCACCTTGTGTGAGTCTAAATTTTCTGATGAATTATTTTCACAACTAAGCAAAAGATTATATAAGAAACATTCCACAAGTCAGGATAGCCCCATACCACCAGAAAACAATGAAAAATTCAAGTCAGATAAGACTCAGACTTTTTGATCACTTTTCCCCAAGATGAGATGAAATTAGAGAGCAAGGAAAAGAAAGTATAAAATTATACATTAGTGGTTAAAAAAATAAACAGAGAAGTAAAAGAAAAATGTTAATAACACAACTCTGTGTTCAAGGACTCTCTTAATTACAAACAGGACTCAGGACACATTTATAGCAAATCACGCAGTTCGGTGAAGTATTCTTGGACACAAAAGTTTAGAACTAATTCAGAAACCTATGCCACTAAGAGTACATGTTAAACATAATGTAGGAAGACAAAAACATTAACTCTGTATGCAATATGAGTTTCCAAATAAAATCTCTTTTCAGTTTGATAGCTACCTAAAAAATTAAGTCCAACTCACCTCAACAGTTAATTTAAAAACATATCATCCAGATGCTAGGTCAAAGAACTAAAGTGTTCAGAGAGGATTCTTCTGTCAGTATAGGTACATTGATTCCTACCCTAGACATCATTGATTCCTACCCTAGAAAGTAATATACTCTAAATGATCCTGGAAAAAGTAGTCAAGACAATTTTCCATATTCCCAGGTCAAGCAATATTTAGACAAGCAAAACATGTCATATATTTCCCCAATACAATTAAAACCAGAAAGAAAAAAAAGAAGTACCTCTCCCAACAGCTGCTCTTCAGCAGCAGGGCTCTCCTCCCCATCACTCTGTGCTACTTGGTCAGAGTCTTTAAGAGCCTTTGGTACACAAAACAATTACAGAGGAAGTTGAAGAATGTGGCATTAAAGGGTTCTTAGTGAACAAGGAAGACAAAAGACCCAACCAACAACATTCAGAGCCAGTGCAATCATAAGAAGCAGTACTGAGTAGTTTCATTTGAGACCCACTAGAGAAAAAGCAAAGAGCAATGTTGTTAACACCGTCTCTGTCCTACCAAACACTTCTCAATAGCAAAGATTTTTACCTTAAGTATCTGACAATCATTTAGTCTTTCCTCTTCTGTCTACCCGTTAAATGTTTGCTATTATACAATGAATTAGTAATTAAAATACCTAGAATCATTTACTTTTACACTGTGAGACAATAAAACATTTCTTTCTTTTTTTTGCACAACAAACACATGTCTTATTTCCTTATTCCTCCCTTATTTGTTATGACTCAAACCAAATTTTAGGGTGCAGACATTTTTAAAGGTCTTCTTACCACATCAGGCCCATCCACTTCGTTCAAGGCCAAAGCAATCTGAAATACAGATAAGAATTCACCTACTAAATGGAATTCTATTTCAGGTTATACAGAAAATGTGCCCCTCGCTCTGACTCCATTCTCACTGACAAAAATTAAAAGACTTTACATGGGAGATAGCGTATTGATGGAAAGAATATCTATTCAAAACTGGCCCTCAATTAGTTCAAGTTTAGCATTTGGGGAGTCTCTCCTTTGGAGAGAGCAAAGACAAATAGCCAGGAAGCAATGGGACTGTGATGTACCCTAGGTGTGCATGACCTCAAAGGGGTATCAATCTTCAATGTGCATGACACTGCCTACCGTGTAGTGTCCAACCCACACCATGCACACAACTCTGCAATACTAAAAAAACCAAGTCACTTTCAGACAGGAGGAGAACCTAAACTAGTTCCTTCTAGGTTTTCCAAGCCAGGATGCCTTGATTGCTCTTGTTGATAGCAATCTGAACAACGTGAACAACCTCAAGAGAAGAAAACTATAAGATTATCTCTCCCCTTTTTAAAGTTTAAATTACCCCTGCTGCAAAACATTGATAGTTACTGAATCTGTTAAGTAGATAATGTAAGCTAAGATCTAGAATGAAGTAGTTTTCCTCTCCTCCCCACAGGGACCGTGGTTGTACAACCTTATTAAAATCTCAAGTGTTAGTTCCAGCAGTTGAGGTTCATAGTGTCGTATCTTTCAAGGCCCAGTTCTCCCTGACACAATTCTTAAATTAAACTTGAATTAAAGGTGCTTCTTGTCAGCTAAACACCAAAAGGCTGGGGTTCAAACCCACTCTCAGACACACCTTGGAAGATAAGCCAGAGGACTGCTTCCAAAAGATGAGCCTTGAAAATGCTCTGCTGCAGTTCTACTGTGTACAAGCAGAGCCCTACAGGTTGGGATCGACTTAACAGCAACTCACAGCAAAAGCTAAAACTTAAAAGGTGCACGTTGCCTTTAAGTTTTACCTAATAAAAAAATGTTTTATTTGCTGACACATAGCTTAACCTCTGAAAATTTACCTCTTTTCCTAGGTTTTCTTTTCTGTATCCCAGAAGTTCAAGGTATTTTCCGCGAGAATCATCCTCAAAGTTTACCTTTAAAAAGAGGCATACTCTTAAAAGTCTTGAATTTAAAGGTCCAAATTTTTTTATAATCATTTTATTAGGGGCTCATACAATTCTTCACAACCCATACATACATCATTTGTGTCCAGCACATTAGTACATATGTTGACATCATCATTCTCACAACACCTGCTTTCTACTTGAGCCCTTGGTGTCAGCTCATTTTTCGCCTTCCCTCCCCGCTCCCTCCTCCTCCTGAACCCTTAATAATTTATAAATTATTATTATTATATCATATCTTGCACCATCTGACGTCTCCCTCACCCACTTCTCCGTTGTCCGTCCCCCAGGGAGGAGGTTATAGGTAGAACTTGTCATCTGTTCCCCCTTTCTCCCTCACCTTCCCTCCACCCTCCCGTAAAGAACCAATTTTTATAATAATGCATTAAAATATCAAATAAGACCATTGAACATACCCAAAGTCTAGTATTACCATTTAAAAACCGAAAGAACAATGACTTTGGGGCTTCTACCCATCGCCTTCTGCAAACCAGGTGTTCACAATCTAAGCTGTGATACCATTCCCTTCTTTGGATTTGGATGACATTATTTACAATCCTTGGATAACACAGGCTAGTGTGCGTCTTCCATGTGGTCTTACTTGACACTTCACTTAGATGGCCACTTCTTTTAAGACAAACCTTTATGACCCCAGATGCTATTCCTTCTGATAGCCGGGCACTCTCTAGTTTTTTCACTACACTTTGCTATAATACTCATATCTTCACTGATCTCTAGGCAGGGCCATGTCATAAGAACTAATCGTTTTTTATATTGGGGCTAAATTTAAATGCAAGCCCCCAATACACTAATTACCTATGGCTTATATTTATCTCTGATTCTCCTTAGATTATTGTCATTTTGTTAGAGAATATCATCAATCACCCTCCTGGGGCATCACTGCACTCCCATCAAGTAGACCCTGACGCACAGTGGACCATAGGACAGGGCAGGACTGTCCCTGTGAGTCTCATGACTGCAAATCTTCACAGGAGTAGAAACTTCACCCTTCCTCGGCTGAGCTGGACGGTGGTTTGGAACTGTTTACTCTCGGACAGCAACCAAATGCATAACCACTGCACACTGATAATGTCATTAGTTTAGCCAATGTAAAGAATTAAGAAAAGGAAATTATGCAAGTAAAGTTATGAACCACAAAACATGAATTGACTTGTATAGATTAAACTTGGCTTATAGACATTTCTTACATACCGATGTCTACAAACATACGTCAAACTGACATGACAAAACTGCACATTTTCTTTAAAAAACAACTTATTTAAGAACAACATAATTACACACTATTATAAGTGAAACTGTATATTTATATAAAACATTATTTAACATTATACAACATTGGAGATACTGGATTTGACGTATCTTGGATGGGTCAGTAGAAAATCCCCTGAACTGTTTGTCTTTACATTTGAAGTTTACTTTCTAAGAACTTTTTACTTATCGTATATACTCAAGGATAAGCCAACCCAAATTATCAGCTGAGGCACCTAATTTTACAAAAAAACTGCATTAAAAACGTGCTAAAAAACTTGGCTTAAACATGAGTATATATGGTACATTACTGAAGTAATGTTTTCATGAATGAAACTGATTTATTGGGATTAGTACTTAATTTATGGATGAGTCAAATTGATGGGTATCCATAGACATAAGTATACCACAGCGAATTTAGAGATTAGAAGGCTTAGAAAAAAATGAATTTAGATATATATTTGTCTCGTTAAATAGATAAAAGTCAGCACAAATGGTAGGAGGTAAATGTAAACGGTTCTATTTCCTATGGAGGAAATAGAAATGCATCAAAGTGACTTTTCCTGTAAACCTAGTATTAAACTCTTAAGTGGACACTATATGCATACAATGGGGGTTGGTGATAGGACAAAACTTTCAATAATATTGATTCACAACAGGGCCATGCCTAAGAGATTAATATATGTCATATTGAAATAAGGAGGCCATTAAAATATATCAAGTATTTGGTAGTACTGGGCCACCATTCATTGGGCAGTGAAAGCCCAAAATCCATTTGCAGGGTTCACTCAGAAACTAATCCTCTGGTGACTACCCACTGATCATCCCTGAGGGATGCAAACAGCCTTGTTATCAGACAAAGAACAATGTATAGTGGACTATGACTGACGGAAGAGGGTTAAAATGAAAATGTACTAGTTTACCATATGATCTCCTCTGTGACCCCTTTTAAAGTTGTTTTAGTTAAAAAAAAAAAAAAGAAGAAGTAGAAGAAGAAGGGGAACTACATATGGATTAAGGCTCTGATGAATCTCATCTGACCATGGATGTAAACAGCCTTGCTATCTATCATGCAGAATGCTGTGGAAAGTGGATTATTGCAGATGCAGTTGGCTTAAAATTTAGCATCTGATCATCTAATCTCCTGTACGATCCATTTAGTTTGTTCTAGTTTTTTATATTGTTTCCTTTTCACTTGGGGTTTTTAACTGTTTTACTTTGTTATTGTTCTTAGTTTTGGATTTAAAAAAAGTTTTTCTGTATATGAAATCCAGGATAAGGAATGCTACAGAGACAATAACTGGATTAATAGTTCTTTGGGGTTATGGGAGGGGAGAGGAGGTTGGGGGAAACAGGGAGCTAATAACAATGAGCACAAGAATTAAGAAAATGTTCTAAAACTGTGGTGATGACTGTACAACTCTTCTTGCTCTTCTTGATGTAATTGAACTACTGAACTGAATGATGTTGTATGCCAATAAAACAGGTTAAAATCTAAAGAACAAGTTTTCTCTTCTTGTTTTTCTTCTTTAAATAACTTATAAAACACAAAATCACTTATTTCCAAAGATTATAGAAATGCAAAATTCTCACAATGTGGACAACCAGAGTCCTGAAGCCTTCCCCATAATTGAATATTTAATTGTAAAATATAAAAATATATTCTCTAATTTTGGAATTCAAGCCTATTATTACACTCAAGATCTCTATTCTTTGAAAATTAAGTGTAGAAAATAAGGCAGTGGAAGCAAAATAACTAACTAAAACCTACATTTGTTATTCCACTGTTATAAATGTAACTTAGTGAAAAAAAAATTTTCCCCTCTTTTTAAAGGCAAGATAAGAAATGCCTCCACCTTTTCTACCCTATGCCACTTCCGACTTTTCCCATTTTCCTCAAAACTTAAATATTCTGTCTTCCAATTTTAAAATAAGTTCATTGAATGCTGTTTCTCTCTCACCTATTACATTTACTCCACACTAACAAAGTACTTCACACTAGGCAGTTCACAGCAGGGGCAGAAATCTGGACATAAAAAGGTAGGCAATGTGCTCCTCAAAGTTTCTTAATGTTCAAAAAGCTCCTGAAATCACAATTTTCAAGTGCTTCTTTAATGAGACAGCTGATTTGAAATATAGTGCAATTAACCTTGCAGATAGTGAAGTAAACGTCTTAAATACCAACTTTACCTTCAAAAATGACCACACATTTTTCTCAAACTCAGTTTGAGAAGCTTCAATTTTTTTCTGACAGTAAGTCACAAATCCTTGGGACTGTACGACCTGCTGAAGTTGGTCAGACCTGCTGAGGAATTCCTTTTCTGTTACAACTTGGCTGATGAACACAGGATGGTGCTGCAGCTGCTCAGCTCCCTGCTGAGACAGCACTTTGACATTCTCAAAGGTAACCAGTTTGCCTCCAAACTGCAAAAGAACAAATGAACAAACAGTTTGAACCCCAAGAACATGGCAAAAAAAAAAAAGGTGTACACTGGAAATTTGTTAAATAGAACTATGGCTTAAACATACAGAAATCTAAAAGAAAAATTAGATATATTCCTTCATGCTTCACAATCTGACAACCTTCAACTCTTCCTTTCCACACAATCTACCTTTATTCATTTATTTATTTATTTTAAATCCTTTTATTGGGGCTCATACAACTCACAATACATAGATCAATTGTGTAAAGCACACCTAAACATTTGTTGCCCTCATCATTCCCAAAATTCGCTTTCCTCTTGGGTTCCCGGAATCAGCTCATTTTCCTTCCCCCCCCCTCCCCCTCCCCAATGAAGCCTTAATAATTTATAAATTATTATTATATCTTATCTCCTTTATTTTTTTAATCATTTTATTGGGGGCTCATACAACTCTTATCACAATCCATACATACATCCATTGTGTACATTTGTTTGCCATCATCATTCTCAAAACATTTGCTTTCTACTTGAGTCCTTTGTACCAGCTCCTTATTTTTCCCCTCTCTCCCCACCCACCCCCTTTCCTCATGAACCCTTGATAATTTGTTATAATTTCATCATGTCTTACACTGTCCAACGTCTCCCTTTACCCACTTTTCTGTTATCTGTGCCCCTGGGAGGGAGTTATATGTAGATCCTTGTAATTGGTTCCTTTCTACCCCACCTTCCCTCTACCCTCCTGGTATTGCCACTTTCATTTATCTGGCCTGGATTTCCTGGGTTTCCAGTTCTTATCTGTACCCATGTACATGATCTGGTCTAGCTGGATTTGTAGGGTAGAACCGGGATCATGATAGTGGGGGGGAGGAAGCATTAAAAAGCTAGAGGAAAGTTATATATTTCATTGGTGCTTCACTGTACCCTGATTGGCTCGTCTCTTCCTAGCGACCCTTCTCACACAATCTACCTTTAGATAAATGTACTATTTATTGTCCTGTCTAGGCCAAATACATCACCTATTTGTTTTTTACTAACTTCCACATACCCAAAGCTACTTATCTTTCAAGATCCAGCAAACGTCACCTTTCCATAAAGCTTATGGAAATTCCTTTAGCATAATATATATATAGTTTTTTCTTTCAACTATTCACCATATGTACTGGTCTCATGTAAATTATTTTGGACCTGGCCCTTCTGTGTGATTTATTCTCGTATCTTGTGTTATACCTAGTAACTACTATGCACAGAGTACATAGCTAATACTAATGTATTCACACAAAATAAATTTAAGGAAACACAGGAATAAAGTAGTTTGTTCATATTTACTAATGTTTCATGCAAAGATTATGGGCTTTACATAAACTTATTTTATAAAATATCTATTGTGTTCAATGTATGTTTATCACAAGCACTGTAAAAAATACCATGATATACTTAAGAAAACACAAACTAGAAGCAAAAGCTAAAGTAGGTTTTACAAGATGATTAATACTGCTCATTTTATTGGTTTCTATGTTGTTGCTCCCATGAACACAGCCTAATACAACAACTAGAAATTTCAGTACAACTTTAGGCACAAAGAGGATGTTTATTACTGTTACCAATCTTAAGGAAAAGAGTAGGAATAATCTATACATCCAAGAATAAAGAGCATACTGTCTTACTACGGAATACCATGTTGTTGGTAGATGACATCAAGCTCCTTCCAACTCAGAGCAACCACGTGTACACTGCCCTAGGACACACTGCTTGGTCCTGCAAAACTCTCACAATTGCTAGGTTTGAGCCCATTGCTACAGTCACGGGGTCAGCCATCTCAGTGAGGGTCTTCTTCCTTTCCACTGACCCTCTACTTTACCTGCTGTTCTTTTCCAGGGACTATCACTTGATTACATGTCCAAAGTATGAGGCGAAGTCTTAGCTTTCGTGCTTCTAAGGAGTGTGTTAGCTGTATTTCTCCCAAGACAGATTTGCTTGTTTTCCACCAATCCTTCATCGGTCTTTATTCATGTCTAACTTTCACATGCATTTGAGGCCAAGGAAAATTCCATGGTTTGAGCCCAGGGCAACTAATTCCTCAAAGTGATAGCCTTGCTATTCAACACTTTAAAGAGATCTTGAACCTCTTTACCCATTGTAACTTGTCTTTTCAGCTCCCAACTGCTGCTGCCATGAGTATTGATTGCGGTTGACAAGAATTTTCTTGTAGTGTGAGGATCATTGCTAAACTAGCAAAGATTATCCTTGGATCCTTCATATATCCTCACTTTCTCTGATTCTAAATATCTTTTCCCTCTAATAACATGAATCTGATCAAACCTTTAGTCTGTAGGAAATAGGGGATATAGAAACACCCTAGAAAAAATATCAGGGCACAGGAAAACACATCAAACAATATTATGGGAACAGAATCAACCAAATACAGAATGTGGAGAAAATAAACATAACTAATACCTGAATTATTTTCAACATCTAAATGTCATGGGGATGGAGGATGAAGAAGGAATTATTATAGATTACAACGAACTTAGAAAGAATATCCACTGAACATATAAAGGCATTTTTGGGGCAACAGTTATGGAATTATTGATCATTTTACTGTATATGATAACAGTATTATAAGTAATGAAAACAATGAACTCAACCGCTATAAGTAATGAAAAGTTGAGTAATAAGTAATGTTATAAGTAATGAAACAATGAACTCAACTGTAAAAGACATATAAAAAGAAACATAAGAAGGGGTTTCAAAAAATTTGTGGGGAAATTCCATCATATTTTAATTCTCTCATAACCTTTTTGAAGTTCCCTTATTATGTATTTACGATAGTGTGCCGGCAGGGTAACTGCTAAAGCTGGATAATGGGTATATGGGCATTCATTACTCACTCTTCTTTCTACTCTGGGGCAGGTTCAACATTTTCCACAATAAGAAAAGCTAGAAGGGGGCGGCGGGGGCGCAGAAAGTCTAAAAGGAGTGGAGTGGGGTGGGGGGAGTTAGATGATACAAATATACCAAAATATCTCAGATACACACCTTTCCCATCTGAATCATCTTATAACATTAGGAAAAATCATCATGCCCATATACGTCAAGACCATAAAACAAAATGCACGTACTGAAAAGGAAGCACCAACAGGCCTTCGGATCCACTTAGGTGGCTTCTTGAGAGGCAGCACTATACTGTGCTGAGCACTCTGCTGTGGTATTTGTAATGGAGGAAGGACTTGTCCTGTCCCAAAGGGATCCAGATTTCCAAACGATGATGACAGCTTTAGAAAAGAGTAATACGAGAATCTGTAACTTATACAAGTCTAGATTGCATTGTTTTCTTGTCATATCCAAGAAAATTTTAAATAATTGTCTATTTACACAGGATTGCTGATCATTAATTGATTTTTAAACTACTCACATAGTTATTTATTAATAGCTACTTTCTTCAAAATCTTCACACTTCCGATTACCTTGTCCACTTGTTTTTGCCGTAATTCATCAGTGCTCCCGCCCATGATAGAATAAACACTGATACGCCCATCAAAGGAAGCAGCTGATAAGACAGCAGGATTTCTCGGACACCACTGAATATCGAAGCACCACTGGGTATTTGTGGGAAGTTCATATAACACCTAAACCAAAACAAACAAAAAAGCCAAAGAAGGTATAGACACTTTATAAGCAGAACAACTAAATTAATGTGTTCAACTAGCTAAATTAAACAATTTTCTTTTAGAAAGTATTTCCAGCTAAGAAAAGCAAAACCAAGATTTATAAAATAAGAGTCCATTATGATGGTCTACCAAAGATAAAGGATAAAGGAATGCTACTTTAAAACAATTCAACCACATTCAAAATAAGCACATCTTAAAATGTGATGGTTTTCTGTTTTTACTGAAATATTAGTGGATACATCTGAAATATCAGAAAACTATTTGAGTCAACTTGCTAAATTTTAAAAGATCAATGGTGTTCTGGCCAACTGTAGATGCCTGCCAAGCCTCAACCAACCACATCTATCTCTGTTTACCTAAAGTCAAAGTTTTAAAATTAGCCCTGCAAGGAAAAACTTCATTGAGAAATCTGGCTTTTTGTCAAGAGAGAAAACATGTGCACACCATTCCTGTTGCTGCATTCATAATATAAAATCCTAACAATCTTTCTTTATACAGAAAAGAGTATGAACTATAGAAAATGGTTGATGCAAATATTTTACAATATTATTGTTTCTAACAAAAAACTTAGTGCTAACTGCTCTTGAAAGAAATACAAGGTCTTGTGGCTTCAAGAAGTAAGTCAAATGAGTTTCATGTGACATTTAAAATGTGTTTTATTTTATGAAAGCACTGTTGTATAAGAGCATTGAACTAAGTGAAAAAGAACTTAGTCTTCTGATGTCTGTGATGTTTAAGGTGGCTGATAGGACTAAGCAGCTTTCAGCTCGATAATGCTGTCTTTAAAAAAATCTAATAACGTGGTAGAAAATAAGGGATTTTTATTATTCTATTAGGTCACTTAAGGTAAAATATATTATTTCATATTTTTGTTCCCCCCTAACTTTAATGTTTCTATATTCTGACACTGCCACATTAGAAAAAGGTAATCCAGAATCCGATGGACTAAGGTGCTTGTTGTTGGTTCATCAGAATCAAATGAAAAAAGCCTACTGAAGATACTATTGTATATTCAATGGAAACAGACGGCCACATTTTTTTTTTCAGAGCAGCTAACAGTTGACCTTTCAGTTACCATCCAAGTGCAGCACCTTCCAAAACACCGTTCACTCCCATTAAGACAAGGCTAGCTCAGAGCAACCTACAGGACAGAGTACAGCTGCCCCTGTGCGCTTCTAGGACTATAACTCTTTATGGGAGTAGAAAGCCTCATCTTTCTCCCGAGGAGTGGCTGGTAGTTTCAAGATGCTACCTTAAAGTTTTGAAAAGCTGACCTGGCCGTTCGTTGCACAATGCATACCCACTATGCCACCAAGGTCCTTAGTGTCGCCAATAACCTACATTAACTTAGAAATGGTGGTTGTCACGTAAAAAGCTGTCATTAAAGTACAGAATCTATAATACACTACTGAGAGAAAGGGAAACCAGTAAGTGACAGAATTAAAAGTTAAAAGAGATACCTAGTGTACAACCCAAAGCAAATAAAATTATACTATATTTATACCATATTTATATTTTAATAAAATAGAATTTCCATGGGCAGGATGTATGACAAATACTACACTATAAAATAAGTATTATATGAGAAATTGAACAGTTTTGAGTCTAGGCAAACTAATTGTACTGGAAATGGAAGCCAATTACTAGTTTAAAATATATTTAATAAATGCATTTTCTAGCTGAAACAATTGAATTTAGACAATGTTTTCTGACATAATCTGTTGGACTAACATTTTACATACACCTCATCTACCTTCACATGTCCTTAGATGAATAATACCCTCAGAATCCATGTAGAAATTTCATATTCAATTAGAAATAAAATATTACACTAGCTTAAAGTTTATAAACACTTCTTCCCTATACCTCTCCTGTGTGTGGATTGGAGCAGAGAATTTTAGCATCTTTTCCACAGCTCAGCAACAATTCAGGATCTGCCATGCTCCAAGCAACTGCCAAAACTCCCCTAGAGAAACACAAATGAATACAAATACTTTCAATCATGAGAAACTCAAATTTCAAAGTATTTGTCTAAAAATTTAAGACTCTTACACAATACTGACAGATGTAGACATAAGTGCATTAGTAATTTGTATGCTCTTTGATCGCTGAAAGAATATAATATATTCATGATATTGTAGAGTGTGTGATAGCAAAAATGAAAACAAAGTAGTTGTCTAACAACATGGACTCTGTAATATATAAATTCCAGCTCTTCCTTTGAGGGGGAAATGTATACAACATTAAAAATTATACTATACAAATCTACTTCTTAATATCTACTAAAAGTAAAAGTAAAATACTAAACGCACTTCCAGCTCGTCAATTCTGACTCATAGTGACCCTGAAAAACAGAGTAGAACTGCACTTTGGGTTTCTGAAACTGGACCTCTACAGAAGCAGAAAGCTTCATCTTTCTCCCAAAGCTCTCATGCAGTGTTCATAATTTACAAAATAGGCTAATTAGGTGAATTATTATTCATTTCTATAAAACTACATAGATATAATGTTATATACTTTTTAAACAAATAGGGCTTTATTTACATATATAAATGTATACATATGCATATATACACACATCTATAAGTTTGTAAACTCACAATGAAATATTTGAACTACAGATGGGTAAGAAATGTATTTCAATTTCTTCTTTCTGATGATATTTTCTAGTTTTTATTAGAGAAACATGTCTATCATAAGTAGTTTCGAAATAAAATTAAAATGTGCACCAAAGCAATCTTAAACAAATACCAATGATCTAATTTTATAGCTTTTTGTGGTTTAATAACATTTGGATTTTTATTTTACTCCTCAGTATTATAAAAGCATGTACATGCATGGGTGCACTCTCTTTCCATATATAAAAGTCTAAAAATTCCTATTAGCCAAAAGAAAATAAAAGCTCCTGTACCTCACCACCCAGGAAAACCACTATAAACATTATGTCTATTCTATATTCCAGCCAGTTTTTTAAAAATTAAAGAACAGAATTAAAAATTAGAAGGAAGTTAACATTACAATACCATGAAAAAATACTAAAATCTATAAAAACTACTTAAGTTTGGGTCTTTCTTCCAACACATACAAAAAAAGGATTCTCTGGGTCATGCAAATGCTTAAGGGTTGAACTGAAAGGTGGGCACCCTTTCAAACCCACCCAGAGGCCCTTTGGAAGTAAGGTCTGCCACTCTGCTTACAAATGACCACCGCTCACAGCTTTAAAAATTCAAAGTTGGCATGAACTCAGTGGTAGCAAAGATTTTGTTTTGTTTTATTTTCAACTCTATTCAGCAATTCTACTTTACACACATAGGGTGACCATGAATTGGAATCAACTTAACAGCAACTAACAATGTAATAAATTTCAAGGATTGTCTCAAAGGATGGACTATACTGGAACTTTTATTTATTATATTGTTTGAAAAACCTTTACACATTTCTATGCTATATGATTTAGCTATACTTTCTTGGTATCAAAAAGCAGATGTAGTACTATAATAACAAACCATTTATCTTAACTTTTAAATTATACAGATAAAACAAATTTCCTAATATTAAAAAGGGGGGAAAAACAAAAAACACCAAAAACTAAAAGCCTACCTTATAATTCAGTGTTAAGTAAATATATAAAAAATAAATAAACAAATTAGGTTCCTTGAAAAAGCTGCATGATACCTGGCATGGTTTTCAAGGACACGAAGTGGAGAGGAAGCAAACCGAAGATCCCACATCTGGATCACAGGTAACCTGTCATCTTCAGAAGCAAGGACCATCTGGGTAGCAACATCAGGATGCCACGCCAATCCAGAGCAATGCATCTGCAAGACAGGTAAGGTTCACAGTTTTTCAATGCTCTTTATAAAAAGCCAAAATATAAAGGCTAACAAATAGACCTTAAACTATTTATAGGCTTTTCCATTTTTGTCACTGTTTTTGTATTTGTTTTATGCTGTTGTTGTTATTGTTTTGTTGGTTTTGACTTCCTTTGTTGTTTTATTTCGTTTTGCCTGGTTTTTGCACTTATTAATGTAGCTGCATGTCTGTCTAGATGAGATAGGCAGGATAAATAATTCAGAGATGAAAAGAACGAACCAATGATTCCAGGGGGATACGGAAGAAGGGTGGGTAAGATAAAGGAAGGGAAGGGCGGACGAACCCAGGAACAAGAGAACAAGTGAATTAAAATCAATGGAAGGAAGGTTGTAGGAGCCTAGTGGGACAGTCAAGGGCAATGTAGCAGCGAGGAATTACTAAACCTGAATGAAGGCTGAACATGATGGTGGGACGAGAGAAGTAAAAAGGAAATAGAGGAAAGAATCAGGAGACAAAGGACATTTGTAGAGACCTAATACATAGGTAAATATATATATATAATGAGAGAGGAATAGAACTATGTACTCATATCTATATGTTAAGAATTAAGAAAACAAACAAACAAACAAAAAAAGAATTAAGGATGCAGATAGACATTGGGCCTCAACTCAAGTACCACCTTAACACAAGAACACTTTGTTCTAACAATCCGGCTTTCTGTGATACTCACCTTCCCAACACAATCACTGAAGGCAAAATGGGTGCATAAGCAAATGTGGTAAGGAAAGCTGATGGTGCCCAGCTATCAAAAGATATAGTGTCTGGGGTCTTAAAGGCTTGAAGATAAACAAGAGACTATCTAGCTGAGAAACAACAAAGCCCACATGGAAGAAGCACAGCAGCCTGTATGATCATGAGGTGTCGATGGGATCAGGTATCAGGCATTTAAGATCCACAACAAAACCGTACCCAAGGTGAGGTGGAGGAGGGTGTGTGTGTGTGATGAAGTGGAGACCCAAAGCCCATCTGTAGACAATTGGACATCCCCTCACAGAGGGGTAACAGGGAAGAGATGAGCCAATCAGGGTGCAGTGTAGCACCGATGAAACACACAATTTTCCTCTAGTTCTTTGGTGCTTCCTTTACCCCACTATCATGACCTCAATTCTACCTTACAAATCAGAATAGATCAGAACATGTACACTACTACAGATAAAGAGCCTGAAACACAGGGAATCCAGGATAGATAAACCCCTCAGGGTCAAAACTAGGAAAATAGAGATACCAGGAGGATTAGGGGAGAGTAGGGAGAGAAAGAGGGAACTGATCACAAGGATCAACCTAGAACCAGCTCCCAGGGGGATGAATAACGGAGAAGTGTGGGAGGCGTGATGGAGGACAATGTAAGATATGGAAAAAATAATCTGTACCTTATTAAGGGTTTGTGAGGGAGGGTGGGGGGGTGAGGGGGAAGAAATGGGGAGCAGCCAGAAGCTCACATGGAGAGGAAACCTTTTGAGAATGATAAGGGCAATGAATGTACAAATGTGCTTTACACAACTGATGTGTAAGAGTTGTATGAGCCCCTAATAACTATTTTTTTTTTAAAAAGAAATGGGGAGAGGATATCAGGGGTTCAAGTGGGAAGAAAATGCTTTGAAAATGATGGTGGCAGCATATGTGCAAATGTGCTTGACATACTGGAGGAATGTATGTATGGATTGTGATGAGATGTAAGAGCCCCTAATAAAGGTACTTTTTTAAAAAGGCAAAATAAAATTGAGGCATTAATACAAAGAGTATGAAACATCAGTTCATGCCCAATTTGACACAACAACAATCAAAATTAGTAAATTTTACTAAAGTCTTTGACAAGTAAAACACCTGAGTGTTTTTCAGCTATTTGATACTTAAAACTATACTAGGCCCAAATAATTCTACACCAAAGAAGGGATTTACTGTCAAAATTGTAACCAGGGAGAAAAGGTTTACCCAAAAAGATATAATTTAAATGAATACAAATTTAAAGTGAAATAGTTTCAGAAAAATGAAAATATAGACTTCAAGTGAAATTGAAGAGGAAATCTTCAATTGAAATTGATAGAGGATCTTTCCTCTATCAGAAAAATTAAGGCAAACTGTCCAAAGCAACTACTACTAGCTAATTTTTGATATAAGATAAATCAACAAGAACAACAATAAAAAAGATAAATCAACATTATTACCAATAATTACCTGAGAGTTCAGATCCTATTAATTATCTTAGACACTGAAAAGTTTGCTGTTATTTCACTTAAGCTTTTCTGTTAAAATTGATTAATCTGAAAAACACTCTGAAGAAATATTCTCCTAGTTTTTACCATTGCTGTCTTAAGTTATATAGGTAGTCCCTGATTTAGACCAAATAATTTTAGAGGATGTTAAACTAGTCAAAGAATTTAAACCCCAAGACAATTAATGCAAATAAAATTCAAAACAAAATCTACTGATGTGCAGTGTGGCTCATAGCAACCCTGCAGGACAGAATAGAACTGCTCTGTAGGCTTCCAAACCTGTAAATCTCTACTTAAGCAGACTGCCTCATCCTTCTCCTCCCATTGACCTTCTGGGTTAGTAACCCAACACTTACCCACTACGCCACCAGGGCTCCAAAGCATACAAAACAGAGCCCTAAATTACACCAATATATCTAATGCACCTTGATGACAGAACCTTTAGCCATTGGCAAGGTTGAGAAGTTAATGTGCTATAGAGCAACACATACCATGAAATACCTGAATTAGAGGAAGAGGTAAAAGTCAGGAGCTCAGAAAAAATAAATAAATAATTAAAAGCCAGGAGCTTGGAAACACCAAGTTCAGAAAAACAAAAATAAAATTCTTTGTAGGAAATTTCTTCTAGGAAAAGCTAAAGATTAATTAAAATGTGGCTACAATCCTTTGAGTATGAGCCCTAGGGGTATAGAGGATATTTATTGGGCTATGATCTGCAAGGTCATCCATCAGTTTGAAACCAGCAGCCAACTCTCAGGGAGAAAGACAAGGCTTTACACGTCCTTAAAAAATGACAGGTTCAGAAACTCACAGGGGACAGTTCTACCCTGTCCTATAGGGTCACTACAAGTCAGCATTGACTCGATGACAATGAATATGATTTTTTGGTTTGCAATGCTCTGAAAAAGCCAGCAGAGCAAGAATATCAATCTATCATAAGTTCCTTGATTTTAACTACTCTTTATCTTCATCATTACTATCCAGCATGGAACATTATTATATTCTCGAAGGGAATAAGCGCATTTTCATTTCAACCTAACAATCAATAGGGAAATTCTGTTGTCAACTGTCAAATATAGGGAAAGCCACACAAGAAATGTAATATGTATGTAAACATATTTATATATAATGATAGGGACATAGATCTATTCACTTATATGTAGATCTTAAGTATTAAGGTAGCAGACGGACAATGAACCTCTACTCAAGGACTCCCTTGATGCAAGAATACTTTGTACTAATAACCTGGCATTCTGTGATGCTCACCTTCCTGACATGATCGCTGAAGACAAAAATGGGCGCAGAAGCTAATGTGGTGAAGAAAGCTGATGGTGCCCAGCTATTACAAGCTACAGTATCTGTCTCAAGTAGAAAGAAAATGCAAAAAAAAAAGAAGAAAATGCTTTGAAAATGATGATGACAACATTATGTATAAAAGTGCTTGACACGATGGATGGATGTATGGATTGTAATAAGAACTGTGATAGTCTAGGTACTTTAGAGAAACAAATCCACAGAAACTCATGTAAAAGAGTTTTATATAATGGTTAACTGTGCATCAAGAAAACATCCCAACCCAGTGCTGCCCAAGCCCACAAATTCAACATTAACCCATTAACCCATATGTCCAACACCAATCCAGAAAGTCCTCCTCCATCTCACAAAATACATGCAATGACGCCGACTGCAGGAGGAAAGCCGAGTCAGTGAATGTGTAAACATCTCAGCACTGGCAGGGGTCTCCACAAGGCTGCTCCAGCACCCAGGGCTGCATCGGGGTAGGTCCATGTGGCTTCTCCTTGGGGATGTCTTGCAGGAAGTCAGCCTTGCAAGCTGAAGCTGGGAACTGCTAAGGCAGCTGCACCCTGGTCCAACCATCACAAAGCAAGAGACCCGAGAACTCGAAAGGCGAGGCTCATTGAGCCATTTATCCCTCCGCCCTTCAATTAATCCCACATGTGTTTTTTGGCCAGATTGGCACAATAAACTAACTAACTCAGCTGTAAGAACCCACAGTAAAATGATTTTTTTAAAAAGGTATAGCACCTGGGATCTTAAAGGCTTGAAGATAAACAAGCAGCCAACTAACTGGGAAGCAACAAAACCCACATGGAGGAAGCACACCAGTCTGTGTGATCACGAGGTGTCAACAGGATCAGCTATCAGGCATTAGAAGACCCAAAACAATCATATCAATGTGAACGAGGTGAGTCGGAGTGGAGACCCAAAGCCCATCTATAGATAATTGGACATCCCCTCACAGAAGGGTCACAAGGAAGGGATGAGTCAGCCAAGGTGCAGTATAGCACAAATGAAACATAACTTTCCTCTAGTTCTTAATGACTCCCCCCTCCTACTATCGTGGAGTCATTCTACCTTACATATCCAGCTAGCCCAGAATATTAACACTGGTACAGTTAAGAGCTCTCAACACACGGAATCCAGGACAGATAAACCCCTCAGGAACAATAATGGGAGCAGCAATACCATGAGGATAGGGGAAAGGGAACCAATCACAATAATCAACGTATTTAAATCACCACACCCCTCCCCCAAACCCCGGTGGGGTGACGAACAACAGAAACATGACTAAAGGGAGACAGCGGTTGGTGTAAGACACGAAAATAATAATTCATAATTTATCAAAGATTCTTGAGAGTGGGAGGGTGGACGGAGGGAAAAATGAGGAGCTGATACCAAGGGCTCAAGTAGAAAGAAACTGTTTTGAAAAGATGGCAACATAAGTACAAATGTGCTTGATACAATGGATCTATGGATTGCTCTAAGAGTTGTAAAAGCCCACAATAAAACAATTTTTAAATGAATTAAGAGAAAAAAATATATTAAGAAAGCAAAAAAACAACTAAATGTAACATGTAAGATATGGCCAAAGAAAAAAAAGAAGGGTTCCTAGGGTGTATGATGAGGGAGGGAGGGCCCAAAGGGGAGCTGATATCAGGGAGTTCAAGAAAAAAAGAAAATGTTTTGAAACTTATTGTGGTAACAATTGTACAACAGTGCATGATATGACTGAACTATGGAATGTTATGAATATCTGTAAGAACTCCCCCTAACATGATTTTTTTAAAAAGAAATGCAAGGTGTGAGTCACAAAGCAACCAAATACTTACCCTATTACTATGATCACTGACTTTGATGACAGGTTCATTTTTCCTAAGATCCCACACAGTGGCCCGGCCACTAGGATTCGCTGATGCTAAAATATGCTGAACTTGTCTGTTCCATGCAATACAGCTGATATCTTCTAGGGGCTTTAAGGAAAAAACATTAAAAACTCATTTCTCCACTTTAATCAAATTTTACTGTGAACTCTGATTTAATTTTAGGATGTGGATGGCTTAAATCTGTTATTTCA